ATATATCGAGAAGCCCTGTACTTGTGCCCGCTCCGAGACGCTGGAGCAAAGTGGCGGGGAAGTTTGCCTCCCGGTGACCCGCGTCGGTTGCCTGGTGCGGGGAGGGAGGCCGCCCAGTGAGAAGGGGAGGCTGGTGCCCGCAGGAGGGCGGTCGGTGGGTGCGCGCGCGCGCGCAGGTGGTCCCCTGCATGCTCAGTAGGGCCTGTCTTTGACCACGACTGCTGGAGAGCGCTTGCCCGCGTCAAGGTGATTTCTCCATCTTCTCCGTGTCTCCCTCCCCGCAGGTGAAAACTTTTGGCCCCTTCGGAAGCGGCGACCAGGACAACCTGACCATGTACATGGATTTAGTGGACGGAATCTTTTTGAACCAAATCATGTTGCAAATGTAAGTTTCTCCTTCAGGGGGGAAGGAGAAGAACGATGCCCCGGAAATCTAGCAAGTTTGAGGTGGTGGAAACGGATTGTGAGGTTGCAACAGGAGGGGGGTGGGGGTGAGCCTGGTAATTTAGGGCTCAGGCCAGTCGACTTCATCCGTGTGCGCCTTTGAAGAGCACCAGGGCAGCGGCCTCATACCTTCTTTGATGCTGGAGATTTGGAATTGAATGACTCTCAGCCACATGGCAATTAATTGGCGTTCGAATGGGGGCACTTAACTGTGGTTAGAGCCAGGAGATGAAAAGGTACCCCCTTCTTTAGAGAGGCACACACAAAACCGGTAACGAAGCGTGTCAGGTTACAGGAAGTGTGGGGTGGGTCGGGAGCCCTGGTGGCTGTGAAGTTTCGCTCTGGGTTGGAAGGCAGGCCTGCTTTCTGCTTCATCTGCTCTGTTTTTCGTTGCCTGTAAAGTGCACTCGGTTGGCTTAAGTACCTTCGTGGGAAATGAGTTTGGAAGTCACAGTGTCAGGAGAGGGACTGGGGTCAGGCCCCGTGGGGACTGTTTGTTTGGGGGGGTGTAGCTTACAGAGCCCTGGTAAAAGTTAGGCTCACCACATGTACATCCGGCCACATCCGTTCCTATTGCTGAAATCGACAGAGCCTGCTTGCCCACCTGCTTGTGTGCCTGTCTAAGCCTGTTTCTTTGACAGCCCATCTCTATGAAGGTCTCAGGCGCCTACTGCCACACTCTGTTTTTTAACTCGGAAACGGCGGCAGGGAACACATTGAAACCGAGTGTCTGCAATGATTCAGAGCCCGTGGAAGTGGGAGGAAACCTTGTGCTCCCAGTGGATCAGGCCGGGGGTGCTCCCTGCTAAACAAGTTGTCATCCCCCAGGACAAACCCATTAGCTAATGAGAATCCGCTGTGCTCCCGGCGGCCAGGGAGGAGGGGCGTATGCTTGGGAAGATCCAGAGTGTTTTCAAATAGCCTTGACTAGAAAACGTCTTGGTGAAAAAAGAAAAGTTCGCTAAAGGTTACATCTTTTGTTGTAATACGGCACTTAATGGCCGGTGGTGGGAGAGAGCCCGTGTTATTTATATAAGAACGACCCACTGCCTGCCTTTACTGTTTGATCAGGTTCTGAAAGACCGCGAGCTGCCTGCCGTTTTGGCAGCCTTTTGGGGTGAGCGCTGATGACAATGTGTGGTCTTGGGGTTGCCTCCCAGGCAGTGTTGGTGTTGAGCTCGGTGGGCACCTCCTCCTGCCCAGTTCTGCTAGATCCTGAACATTACCACCAGACCTGTCTGTCCTTCCACAAACCCAGGACTTTAATTTAAAAACCCAGCATTCCCCTGGGCTTTCCGTTCAGCTTTCACACCAAGGCCTGGGGAGAACAAAAGCCGGGGGCCGGCCTTTCTTCTTCTCTGACCTTTGGAATTCCTGAAGCTTTTACCACTTGCTTGTAAATCAGGAAAGGCAGTGGAGTGGGTCTCTCAGAAATGCCAGCTCATGGCTGGTTCACATTTGGCCCCGGGCTAGATTTAGTTAAAGACCTCTCAGCTCAGTGTCACCCCCAGCTCAGGGAATTTTAAATGTGCATGTGTTTTTTTTAACCCCTCCTTTGGTGGTGCACTTGTACAGGGACTGCTGGAGGGGGCCCCCACGCTGGGGTCTGGCACAGAGAGGAAGTGAGTGTGGGGGAAGCTGGTGCGTGGTTTTCAGAACAAAATAGAGGGTGGTGGGGTGGGTGCAACTGGCTTATTCGAACTGGGCTTGCCTCTCTGGGGTGGGTGGGGGTGGACTGGAAAGTGGGCAGGAGCACTTTACGGGGTGGGAGAAATGTACTACTGTATGTTGGTTGGGGTTTGCTTTATTAACCCACACGCTTTAAGGTGCAACTTTAAAAAAAAAGGTGCAACTTTGATAAGTCTTTGTCTATGTAAAAACTACCCAAAATGGGAGGGGAAAAAAGATAGACCCTCAGCCTGGGTTTGAGGCCGCGGCCTCCCTCAGAGGAGCACATGCTGCAGGGCAGGTCCCTTTGACACTCAGTCTCCTCATCTGTAAAATGGGAAATAAAGTACTTCGTCCTAAGAGACAGTTTGCAGATGGAATGGGCTGAGGTGTGGGCGTTCAGCTAGGCTGGTATTTAATAGGTGTTGGTATCAGTTAAGGAGCCCTTGTGGCGCTGTGGGCTAGACGTTGGGCTGATGACAATGAGTGTTCCTGGGGTTGCCTCGCAGTCAGTGTTAGACCTTGCTAATCTCAAGGTCTACAGTTCGGACCCGCCAACGGCTCTGTGGGAGAAAGACGAGGCTGTCTGCCCCTGTAAAGGTTTCCTCTAGTCTCAGAAACCCTATGTAGAGTGGCTCAACGTTGGAATTGACTTAGTGGTGGTGGGTTTGGGTTTGGTTCAGAAGCCCTAGTGTTACAGTGGATTAAGCGCAGGGCTGCTGCTCACTACAGGGATAGTTGTTCGAACCCACGGCCTCTCAGAGGGAGAAAGGTGAGATGGTCGGCTTCTATGAAGACAGACAGCCTCAGAAATCCGATGGATCAGTTATTCTCTGTCCAGTCTGGGCGCTGTGAGTCCGTATGGTTATCAGTTTCTTCGGTTTGCACCATGCTAGTTCAGAAAGGACTGGAGGCAGCCCAGCCCAGGAGGGTCGGTTTGCCTGTTCAGTTGGCTTCCTTCCCTGAGCTCCCAGATTACACACTAAGCCTTGCCTGCCCTGTCCCCACGTCCTGTCCCTACGAGATCTAGCCCGAACTGGAGTCTGGGACCAGGTCCTGGTCTCTCACCTAACACTGTTAGGTCCTGCCACGTGCAGCCGCCTCTTGGGCCAAGTAAGCCAGCAGCTGAGTGATAAGGCTTCTCTCCTCCAGCTTCCTCCCAGCTTTACTGGATTGTCCCCTGCGGGAGTGGCAGGCCCTGAGGCAGGCAGGGTGCTCAGACTAGAGGCCTGTTACCTAACACTGGAGCCATATGGAGGCTGGCTGGGTGTCACGTGGCTGCATCTGGGCATTGTCTCTGGCAACCCAAGAAGGCGTGGGTAGTGGTCCCTCAGCCCTGGTCTCCTGGCGACGCCAGTGTTTGGAAGCAGGGAAGCCCGGTGGTGGGCTCAGCTTTCAGGCAAGGCTCAGGGCGAGATGTCTTGTACTGCATGTGTGTCATCGGGTACCGTGGTGGGGACACATGGGAAACTGCTCAACAGCTAGCTCCTGTCACGGCAATTTCACCAAGGGCTGGTAACACCCTCGGCAAACCAGCACCCTGACTACGTGCAGACAGACTTTTCACCGTCTCCTGGGAACGTCGTCGGTTACCAGTGTTGGCTTTGGCATCATGCAGACACAAATTCCTCCTCACCGATCTCCAATGCTGTTGGGTGTGCTGACTTGTCTCCGACGCATAGTGTAGAAGGAAGCACCGTTGGGCCCTGTGCCTTCTCAACACCCGTTGCTAAGTTTGAGCCCACTGTTGAAGCCAGTCTATCAGTCCATCTCATTAAGGGGCTTCTTCTTTCCCTCTGCCCTCGACTTTACCACGCACGCAGGATGTCCTCCAGAGAGCCGGCCCTCCTGGTAACGTATCCAAAGTATATGAGGCAAGGTATCGCCGTCCTGCTTCTAGTGAACATTCTGGCTCCAAGACGGACCTGATTGTTCTGTTGTCCGTCTGCTGCTTTCAAATTCACCAACGCCATAATCCAACTGACTGGTTACTCTGGCAAATCGCGTCAGCTTTCCTCGTCAGTCTCCGTTTTCCAATCTGTATTTTTGGGGTGATGATAGAGAATGTTTTTGAAGACTCAAGTCAGACTAAGCAGATGAAGACATCCAATAAAGGCCAATCCTTATGATTGCTTCTTGGCCCTTCAGGGAAACTTCCCTGACAAATGAGGCCTGGAGTGGGTGTGCGTGTGTACATACATGCATGAGTGGTGTGTGGGTATACATGTGTGTGTGTATGAGTACACACGAGTGTGTAGCTATGTGTGTGTGGGTGTACATGCATGAGTATGTGTGTAGCTATGTGTATGGGTGTACATGCATGAGTATGTGTGTGTGTGTGCATGGGTGTACATGCATGAGTGTGTGTGGCTGTGCATGCACTAGTGTGCACACCTATCCTTGAGAAAGCAAGTACCCTCCAGTACTACTGCTGTTCTGGGCATTTGGGAAGTTGGGCCTGGGACTGAGGGTTGGTGGGTAAATTCCACGCTGGTGGTTGGCTTCCTTTGGATCTCTCTGCTGACCCTATGGAATTCAGTCTGTTAGTTGTTCTCGGCTGGGACGCATCCTCAGTCCCTGGTGGTGAAGGTACCTTTCTAAGGAAGCATTTGCAGGAGGACCTGTCTCCCCAGGGTGCTTAGACAAGAGATAGGCTCCCATCGGGCAGCTCTGAGGAGAGGAAGAGGCACTGTGGGCGGTGGAATGAATTTGTGTTGGAGCAAAAGGTTTTTAATTGTGAGCCTAAGTAACTTCCTTTCTTGGCAGGGGCACCGTGTCTTTTAAAGAAAGAAGCCGTGCTCGTGGTAGGAGAATAGGAACGGACAGAAACATGTAATAAGCATTGCCATTCTTATGCTGCTGCCTTCCGGAAGGCTGTCTCTCGTGTATTTGTTTTTTTGACAAATGCAGGCTTGCGCTACTGGTTTTTAACATCCTAACATTGTTGATAGGTGCCGCCACTGAGTCAGCGCTGTCCCATAGCGACGTTTTGCACAGCAGACGGAAACTGCCTGGTCCTACGCCATCCTCACAATCAGTCTTATGTTTGAGCCCATCGATGCAGACAGTGTCAATCCATCTTGCCGGAGGGCTTCCTCTTTTTGCTGCCCCTTTACTTTACCAAGGATGATGTCCTCCAGGGACAGGTCTCTCCTGACAACATGTCCAAAGTATGTGAGACCTTCGAAGTCTCGCCTTCCCTGCCTCGGAGGTGCACTCCGGCTGTACTTCTTCCAAGACAGATTTGTTTGTTCTTTTGGAAGTCCGTGGTATTTTCAAATTCTTCTCCAGCACTGCAATTCAAATGCATCGGTTCTTCAACCTTCCTCATTCAATGCCCAACATCCTAGGTTGGTTTTTTTAAATGTTTATTTGTTGTTGTATTTGAGATTTTCTATTGAGTTTGAGTTGAAAGTTGACATAGCAACGTAGGCTCCAATTTGACGGTCGGTGCTCTGTGACATGGGGATGAAGTTTCAGAGCATGCCAGCCTGCTCATGAGCTCCCTTCTGTTCCCTCGGGTGTCTGTGGCTCTGGCCTGCTTGCCCTCCCTGCCGCCTCATCTTTACTTTCTGGGGAATGCAGATCGCTTGGTTTAGAGCAGTGGTCAACAAACTTCTGAGATAGAAGAGCCAATCCTGTCCCTCCCTGTAATTTAAAAATTATTTGAGAGCCATAAATGTATTTTTACAAAGGAAATCACCATAATCTGAACAATGTCCTGTAAAAAGGTTCGGTTTCACTTGAGAGCCACATGTATGAACCGAGAGTCGAGTATGACTTGCGAGCTGCAGTTTGCCAATCTTTGGTTAGCGTGCCCTGTTTGAGAGGCACAGATTCACCAAGGCTAGTGTTTGTTGCCTAAGCTGATCCATTGATCAGTTGGCTGAAAGGGGATAGCATCCTGTTTTTGGCTTACAGTGGGGTACGGATGTTGCCTGTGCCCATGTCCGGATGTCGCTTCTCAAGCCAGTCCTAAATTTAGGAAGCCTTCGCGCTTGGACCTCTCCACGTTTGGACCCGATTCAGGGTCCAGGCCTGTGCCTGTCCTCTGATAACCTGCTGCTGGCTGAGCGGCTCCTTAGGCCCTGAGGCTGTCCCGTAATGAAGACCCTTGTTAAGACCGCTTCCAGCCCCATGCAGTTGTGGGAGGGAGGTCTTGGTACAGCCTGAGTGTGGTTGCTACAGAGCTGGGCTTCGGAACCAGGACTTTGGTGGGCATTTTGCAGGTGGACACGCTGAGGCCCAGAGAACGGGCCACAACTCCCATCTCCTTGATGCCCATGCAGAGGTGGATGATCAGGGTCCTGAGTCGAATGGCTCATGCAGTGAATCTGGGTTCTTTGGCGGTGTGCTTTCAGTGAGATGGCGTCCGGGAAGAAGAGCGGATGTCAGAGGCTTCCTGGCCCTTGGCTGGTGGAAAGCAGGCGCCCAGCTGTGTGCAGGGACCCCCACACAGTACGCTGGGGTCCAGGTCTCTGCAGAGGGCCTGCCTGGGGCGACAGCGCCGTGTGTTCTCGCTCCAAGTTGTGCGCGCTATTTTAAGGGACCACGTTTGTCACTTTGTGAAATTGCTTCTCGTCTCCAGGAGAATTGCTCCCTCGGGATACAGGTTTTTGAGTGCCGGAGACACTTCACTCTGCAGCAGGGGGGAAATGCCTCTGTTGTGTGAATCTCCGACGCCCTCCTGGCTTCGCAGAACCGGCCACCTGCGTCCTCTCCCGGACCGCGATGCCCAGCTCATGCCCGGCTCGGAGGGAACGATGGAGGGTGGCAGTCGCTGTGCGGGGGAACCACGGGGACTTGTCCCCTGCACCTGGAAGGGAGGTCTCTGGGGGCCCCCCTGCCTCGCTCGGCGATGTCCGAGTCGGGTGCGGGTGCTGGTCCTCAGCAGGGTGCGCCCGCACGGACCGTGCACGCGGAGGGCCCGGCCTCGGAGCGCACGTCTCCAGGTGGACGTGGCGGCCGCGCGTTCAGCCAGCACGGGGTGCGCAGGGCTGTGGGACGTGCGCTCCCCTCCCCACGAGGAGCGGGGGCTTGGATTTCCGGGACCCCCCTCCCCGCACTGCCCAGAACCCGACCCGCGCCCGGGGGCGTGGCTACGAGGAGGAGGCGGGGCCTGCCCCCTCCCAGCAGCTCCGCGCCCCGCCCTGTCTGTCTGTCTGTCTCCCTCCCTCCCGGCTGGGATGCCAGGCTGATGGCCCCGCAGACCCTCGTTGGAATTAGACCCGCTTTGCGGGGTCTTGGGGCGGTTTTTGAGAGAGAGGGTTTGGGGAGGGGCAGCAGGGTGCGCCCCCAGGGAGCTGGGAGCGGGGAGGGGGGTCAGTCAGCCGGGTCTGCCCTTCGCACAAAAGTCCCGCACATCGAGTAGTGATGTCAACTTCTAGCATCTTCCGTCTCGACGCCACTGGGAGGAAGGGACACAATTTTTGAGGGGAAGCGTGTTTCCACTTGCATCACTGTCCCCCTACGCCAGTTGTCAGGTAGCCCCTTCTGACTCAGACTCGGACTGGGCTCCCAGTGGCTCACTTTTCAGAGCCTTTTTTCCACGGTGCCTCTGGGGAGACTGGAACCCCTGTCCTTCCGGTTGGCAGCAAGGGTGCCCACCTTGTGCCCCTCAGGGAGTCTCTGGAGGGGGTGGTCTCTCTCGGGTTCCTCGGTCATGGTGGGCCACACACCACGGAGCTCACAGCCTGAGGTCGGAGTTTCACGGTAGAGCGGCCTGCCCCTGCCCGGTTCTGGGAGAGCAGGAGGATCCATTACCTGGAATTTGAATGAGTTCAATGGTTTGTCAAGCCAGGGAAGGTGGCATGGCTTGTTCCTCTCCTACCACTCGCTCCTGAGTGGGAGCCTTGGTGGCGCCACTATTCAGGTGCTTGGCTGCAAACCAGAAGGTTGGTGGTTTGCGCTTACATCCGCGCTGTGGGAGACGGAGGTGACGGCACCCACAAAGACTGACGGGCTTGGGAACCTGCTGGATGGCAGTGGGCTCTGGTTTTAGGGTTTTTTTCCACCTGTTTTGCTTGGTTGGGCTTTTGCTCTCTTTCATCTTGAAAGATGTTTCTGGCTCGGCGGTGGACTTTGTGCCTGCGTTTGCACAGGTGGCTTGGCGGGAAGGAACAGACCAAAATGAAAATGAAGAAGCCAAACCAGAGGCCGTCGTGTGACTCGGCGACCCTCTAGGACAGAGTCGAACCTGTCCCTAGGGTTTCCGAGGGTGTAAATCCTTATGGCAGGAGGAGGCTTCATTGTTCTGTCTTCCTCCCGCCCCGGAGCCAGAGTCAGGCTGATGATGTGCCTTGGGGAGCCTGGGCTGCTACTCCGAAGCTCCTTGGAAGCCACAACAAGCCCTGGGTGGGGTGGGGTGGGGCGGTGGTGGCGCAGTGTGAGGCCGGAAGGAGGCCCGCCGAAGCCCCTCTGCTTGTCCCCAGCCGAGTCAGGAGTTGATGCCAACCCTGCTGCCATGCCTGGCAGTAAAGGGCTCCTCACTGCCATCGAGTCAGTTCTGACTCACAGCCAGCCTGTAGGACAGGGTAGAACTGCTCCCCTGGGATTTCCAAGACTGTAACGCTTTACAGGAATAGAAAGCCTCATGTCTGTCCCGAGGAGTGTCAGGTGGTTTTGAACTGCTGGCCTTGCCTGTCAAAAGCCCAACCAGCATGGCGGCTGCCCACCAGGGCGCCTACAGGAACTAAAGGCCCGATGGTGCTTGGAAGGGCCGTGTGTCAGGTGCCGGGTGATGCTATTTCATTCATTGTTTCTCCCCTAGAGATCCCAGGCCGACTAACCAGCGCATCAACAAGCACGTCAACAACGACGTGAACCTCCGCATTCAGAACCTGACCATCCTGGTGAGGACCATCAAGACCTACTACCAGGTAAGGGAAGGGGCCCAGGGCGGCAGTGCTTCATGCGCCGCCGGCTGCTAACCAGGAGGCCAGCCGTCCTGTGGGAGTGAGTGAGACGCGGCAGCCTATTTCTGGGAAGAGCTCCCATGGGAGCCCCCGCTGGAGGGCAGCTCTCCCCTGTCCTGCAAGGTGGCTGAGTCAGACTTGACTTCTGGGCCGAGCATGCTGGGTTTATCAGGGAGGCCAGTGCTCACGGGTCTGGCAGTGCCACCCTGGGCAAGTTTCCCTGCAGGAAGCCGAGAGGGGGATGGTGTTCGTGTACAAGTACTGTATTTGCACGCTGACCCTGGTGTGTTTTATTCGATGAAAGGGGCCAGGTGTTGAGGTCGTTGGATTGTTAGCGAGCGTTCTCTGAGTTGGGTGCATGGCCTGTGCCCTGTGCTGGAGGACCCCAGGGACCTCATCTTTTAGTCCGTTGAGCGGGGGCTGGCTGGACTTATACAGTCCTGGCTGGACGTCTCTGTACAGGAGAAACTCGGAGAGCTGAGGGTGAGAAGGGACTCCAGAGAATAGTGTTGTGCCTTCACAGGAGGTCACTGGCCAGCCTCCAGGCGGCAGGTAGCAGCCCTGGGCTGACGCTGTGGAGTGGCCACTGTGGGGGGGCTTGCCATGACCCGGTGAGCTACGGTTGGTGGGTTGGTGGAGAGTCTCCGAGGTTCACTGCTGGGGAATAGGCGCCCACTGTGTGCCTGGAGCCTGGCTCTCACACTTCTTCCCACTGACACTTGACACCCCAGATGGAGGCCTAGGCACTCTGATGGCCTGGAGCCCTGGGACCCTTCCCCTCCCTCCAGGGCATCTCTCCGACTCTTGGGGCTCTGGGGAACACGGTTTGAGAACCACTGCTGGAGCACAAGCCCCCTCCCAGAGTCGTGGGGCATCCTCTGAGCTCGGCCAGACCCCACCTTGCCCTGCCCTTGTGCTCAGCTCCCTGGGCTGCAGTGTGTGGCTGGGGCTTAGATTCAGGTGCATCTTCAGATGTCCTGTGCAGGGTGGGTGCCAGGCTGGAGGAGGGGCTCAGTGGGCCACCAGGCACGACCAACATTCGGCGTCCGTCGGCGTCGGACTGCACGGGGCCTTGCCCCCACCAAGAGCTGTGGCTGCTGCTATTTCAACTTGAACCTGGAATAGGATGGCCGTGTGTGTGTGTGTGTGTGTGTGTGTTTTGAACCGTCCCGGGTTTTCTGGGTTGCTTGAGCTTTCACCCCATCCTGCTCCCTTTGGGGTTGGGGTGCAGGAGAGATAGGTTGATGTACATAAGATGGGAAGGTGTGCATGAGGGGGTGTGGTTCATGAAAGAGGTTGAGGTATATGATGGGATTGGGTGCACAGGGATTGAACGCATGAGAGATGTTAGGGTTTGCGAGGGGCTTTGGTACATGGGGTTGTAGTACCAAGGGAGTGACAGTGCTGGTCTGGTTTGCTTGCACACAAGCACACTGGGCACTGAAGGACCTGTCCCTGAGGTCACAGATGCCAGCTGGACTGAGGGGAGGGCTGAAGGTCAGGCCTCCCTGCATGGATGCCGGCTTGGACTTGGGCTGGGGGCCAAGTGTCTCTGAGGGCTGGGCCAGGACCTGTGTCCTGTCTGGGCTCCATGCTCAGGGCTGGGCCTGCTATTGGCAGCCGTTCGAGGGTGGTGGAGGGCAGGGACAGGAAGGAGGAGTTTCTGTTTGGGGAAATGTGGCGGGTAGACGAGGATGGTGCAAATGATCGCACGCCCAGCGTTGTTGCTGTGTGAATGTGAAGGCTGCAGGGGCTGGGGAACATGTGGGCCTGTGCGTTTTCAAAACATTCACACCGCCGCCGCCACCACCATCATCCCCACAAACCCAGAGCCAGAGTGAGAAGACCCAGCAGGCACGACTCACCTATGGCTGGTCGGTGGTCCCCTCTCGGCTTGCAGCTGGGAAGGCCTCAGGTGAGGTCCACCAGGTGCATCCCGGGTGGGAGACGAGACACAGACTCGACTGTAGGCGGTTGGGCCGTGGGTTCGGGTCTGTCCTGGCTGATTGTGGAAGGACCATGCATGCTGTTGGGGTCCTGCAGCTTCTGGGAGCCCAGACCCAGGACAGACAGGGACTGTGTCCGTGTGAGAGGCTCTTGGCTGTCCTTGGGGCTCTATGTAGAGTCCAGAGGATGGCCTGGGAGGAAGAGACAACTCATGGTCCAGAATGACTGGAGTGGGAGAGGGGCCGTACAGCCTGTCCACCGGGGTCAGCTCTTCAGGGGCAGGGCTGTGTGTGTGCTGGGAGCCTTGGCCTTTGCTCCATCCTACATGTGTGGAGGGAGCCAGCAGAGAAGCAGGCATTCTGGGCTGAACCCCTGTGACAGGCCACAGAGTCTCTGTGGGCCACTTCGCCCTTCAGATGGAAAATACAGCTAAACCCAGGCCGGCAGGCCACAGGCATCGGTTATCAACAGCATAAACAAACATGTGGAAGGCAAACAGAAGTGCCCACCAGAATCTCACCGAAGACAATCACCATCAACACTTTTATGTTTCCTTCCAGCCCTGGCCTGAATGGGCTTTTGTTCCCGCTGTGGTCCGAGGCAGGCCTTACGTACAAGGACACATCCTGCCATTTCCCCTTCCCACCCATTCCTACAGCATAAACATTGGTGGTTCTTATTGTAAAGGGCATTCAATAGCTTTTCCAGAAGAACTACTGCCCAGGGACCCCCCCCCTCCCCGCCTTAGAAAGAAAGGGGGCCTGGCCAGTGGGGTGAGCGGGACTTGCCCTGGGCACCTCAAGGTCACTCTGGCTTATCCTGGGCCTTGTTTTCAGAGAGACCACTTCATTCCCACCTGCTCCCTCTTCCCTGAGGCACAGTGGAGCCCCGAAAGTGGAGGGACAGGCGCCTCGCTTGAATGACATGGGCTTGCTTCACGAGGAAGCTCAAGTTTTGCCTCTCAAACATCTGAGGGGACAAGGGGTCCTTGGCCTTTTCCTGGGGCCTGGGGCTGAGGGGGTGGGAATCAGAGCGGCTGACATTCAGTCTCCTCAAGGGGCCATATGTCTGACCATCAGGTCCTTGATCCTGTGCCCTGCCCTGCCCTGCTGTACACTTCAGCAATGGGGCCCTTGAGCCCGCATTGTAACCTCTGCCCCAGCTGCCCAGGTCTGACCATCAGCCTGATCCGACTACAGGGCTGGCTCTCAAAAGTGGTCCTCTGGTCAACAGCCTCACCTGGTGAGAAATGCAGAGGCTCAGGTCTCTCCCCAGGCTTCCCCTGCCAGGACCCAGCAGTTTATGTTTTCCCAAGCCTTCCCGGGGTGCCAGTGCCCATGCAGCTCTGCAAACCACTGCTTTAGGGCTTTGCGCAGGGTTATTGGAGGAACCAGCTCCACCCAGGTGCTCAGGGATTCTTCCAGGGCCTCCCGAAGTGCCTGCATACCTCACCTGGGCTGGCAGGCAGGGTTCCCGCAGCCGCTGTGGACCGGAGGGGGAATATGCGGTGATGACAAGGTGGTCAGACGGAGCAGAGGTGTTGAAGAGAGGAGAGGACTGCAAGAGGGGTATAGCATATAGATGAAACCATATGTCAAAAAACAAACAAACTTGAAAAACATCCGTTTCATGCAAATACTCAAGGATCTGAATATAAAAATAAACCACACACACACACAAAAGAAGGCTCAGTTAAAAAGAGAAGCGTTGGCAGCCTGTCTTGGGTATCTGTGATCCTACAGCTTCTCCTAGCACCCCAAAAACTCACTGCCATCGAGGAGTCGGCGTTGACTCAGAAAGTGACTATCAAACGGGGCAGAGATGCCCCTGTGGGCGTCCGAGACTAACTCTTTGTGGGGGTAGAAAGCGTTGTCCTTCTCTGCCAACTCATGTGCCACCAGGCTCCGCCCACAGGTGGCTGTGTTGCTGCTAGGTGTCACTGAGCTGGTTTTGACCCATAACATCCCTTGCGCAGCAGAAGGCCCCGCCGCCGGTCCCGTGCCGTCCTGTCCTCACGGTTGCTCCCCTGCCTGAAGCCATAGTTTCAGCCACTGTGTCAGCCCATCTTGTTGAGGCCCCTTCCGCTCTGATGCTGCCCTTCTAGTTGACCAAGCATGATGTCCTTCTCTGGAGACTGTTATCTCCTGATAAGACGTCCTAAGTACACGAGACAACCATCGCGCCATCTGTGCTTCTGAGGAGCGTTCTGGCTGTACTTATTTCAGGAGACTGGGCTGTGCTTTGGGCAGCCCATGGGACTTTCCATGCTCTTTGCCAGCACGTCATTCAGACGCATCGACTCTTCTTAGGCCTTCTTTATTCAGTGTCCAACTTTCACAGGGATATGAGGCCGTTGACGATCCCGTGGCTTGAATCAGGGCCAACTTACCCCTCGAAGTATCAGCCTTGCTTTTCAACACTGTAAGGACATCTGTCCTCTAGTTCTTTAACATTTCCTCCCTCTTATGGTCTTGGTTTTACCTCATTAATCTTGTGAGACCTGTGTATGTTCATTTGTGTTTAATTAAGTGTTTGATGAATGAAATCCGAGATAGATAAACCCTTCAGAAAAGTAATGGGAGTAATGATCCCCTGAGGGTATGGGAAGACCGTTGGGTAGCAGGGAGGACTGATAACCATAATGACTTTATACTCCCACTCAAGGGGAAAAGACAACAGGATTGTAGGTGAATGGATACATTCGTTGGTTTAAGATATGGCAAAATAATAATAATAATATAGGGGTTCCTGGGGGTGGAGGGTAGAGGACGGAGGGAGGGGATCAAGGGGAGCTGATATCAAAGAGTTCAAGAAGAAATAAAATGTTTTGTTTTTAAATAAAATGTTTTGAAAATGATGGTGGGAACAATTGTACAATTATGCTTGATCTAATTGGATGATAGACTGTTATAATATCAGTAAGAGCTCCCAATAAAAGGATTTAAGAAGAGGCACCCAAGGCAAGATGTCGTTTGGCCATCGACTGTGGGATCAGGACCCTAGGACCCTTAGGTGGG